AGCTTTCCCTTTGAAAAGTTCTGTGAGAACTGGAACAAGAAATCTCAGGAAAAGAGGAGCCTGTCCCCAGCAGCTTGTGGCTATTCTGCTGTAACCATCAACGTCTTCCCCTGAGTGTGTGCAAGGCTTCACCCAGGAGCTCTGCAGTCAGTTACCTGTGTCACGTGACTTAGCCCTACTGCCAGGCTCCTAAAGACAGCTGCAATTAGACATCGGAAGACTCCGTCCACTTGGGGCTGAGATATAGTGGGGAGGAAGCAAGGAGTTCCAGTAGTTCTCTCTTTTCATAGGGGACATACTCCAGCCCCCCTCAGGGGTTCCCTAAAACACTTGATAGTACTGAGCTTGGGACATACTACGTGGTTTTTCATCCGTGTATGCCTGTGATGATGTTTAGAGCCCAGCAAGACGGCATAGCAGGGCAAAGCGCTTGCCACCAAGCTGGAGACCTGAGTTCGATGCCTGGAACCCACACAGTGAAGGAGTCCTTCGGGCTGTCCTCTGACCTCTGCACATGTACCATGGCACTTGCCCCCCACCTGCGCATCCATAATAAATAAGTAGAGGGCTCAATAAAAAGTGTCCCCCAAAACCGGAAGAAAAATCCAAACCAACATGTGTATAGACACACAGAAATGCAAAACACTACTTAAAAAGAAAAGAAAAGCAACGAGACTTCTACAAAAGCCAGAACTCCTGACGCCCAAGTTCAAGACACCAACTCGGGTAAAATGCCAGGAAGATTTCAAAAGTTTTCTTTTAACATGATTGATGGCCTGAAAGAGCATGCAAAGAAGCTGCTAAATTCAATTCAGGACCAAGAGAGGGAAGTCAACTACACAGAGGGACGGTTAGCAAAATGGATGAGAAAATCAGCAATATGAGTGGAAAAGTCAGCACATAGGAAAACATGAGCAAAGGAATTAAGATTTTAAAAAATCAAATGGAAATATTGAGAGTATTTCAAAATATTTCAAAAAAAATGACGCAGTGGAAATTTTTTCCACGAAGTGGAAATAATCCTCAATGGATTCCACCAAGCAGAAGAAAGAAATGCAGAGAGGGACAATAAGGTTAGTGATCACCTTCATGTAAATGGTCCTTGTCCATAAAGAGACGGGCTGGCTTCCAAAGCTAGAACCAACTGTGTGCTGTCTCCAAGTAAGACATTCCACAGTCGGACAGTGGTGGCACACGCCTTTAATCCCAGCACTGAGCAGGCAGAGGCAGAGGCAGAGGCAGAGGCAGGTGGATCTCTGTGAGTTCCAAGACAGCCTGGTCTACAGAGAGAGTTCCAGGACAGGGCTATGAAGAGAAACCCTGTCTCAAAATCAAACCAAAACAAACAAGAAAGAAAAGAGAAGAGAAAGAAAGACATGCTAGTGAAGACTCCCACAGACTGAGAGGCAAAGGATGAAAATCTGCACAGCAAATGGGAACCAGACAACCAGATAATCTGGTATCTGTTAAAGTTGACTCTGAACCAAACATAGAAGAGGTTTTAAAAGACCACTACATATTAATAAAGAAACAAATCAGTTCACCAAGAGGATATAAATATACATGCACCAATTTTATAAAACAAACACTACTGATCATAAGAGGTTGGACACCTAAGCTGGAGTTGGGAAGGAGTGAGGTCACTGGACCCTGAAGATGGACTTGAGGAGGTGTGGGGGTCACTGGACCCCGAAGATGGACTTCGGGAGGGGTGGGGTCACTGGACCTCATTATTTGTTCTTTCCAATGTGACTATGTTGACTATATCTCCTTTCTCTGCTCTTGATATTTGTTGTCTTCTAATCAACCTACTGAGGATGAGTGGCCAAACCCAGCTTCTCAGGGCTTCCAGACCCAGGCTCTGGCCCTAACACTCTGCTAACAGTATGAACTACCCAGCTGATGAGGGATATCTTTCTGTACTCTCTGAATATGTTTTATTACCATTGATTAATAAAGAAGCTGCTTTGGTCTATAACAAGGCAGGATAGAGCGAGGCAGGTAATCCAAACTGAATACAGAGAAAAAGAAGGCAGAATCAGGAAGAGATGCCAGCCAGCCACCGGAGGAACAAGATGCATTAGAACACAGATAAAGCCACTAGACACGTGGTAAAACACAAATTAATAGGATTGGGTTAAGTTGTAAGAGCTAGTTAGTAATAAGCCTGAGCAATAGGCCAAACAGTTTATTGTTATATTAGGCCTCTGAATGATGATTTTATAAGTGACTGCGGGACCGTGGGGCCACAGGTCTGGCAGGACAGAGAAAAGCCTCCATCTACACCCACTAGGGCTTTGGCTGTCATGAAGGGAACCCACTCAGAACTCCCCCCGAGTTCTGACAAGTCACCGAGTGGCTTAACCTGATCTTGTTTCTTCTTGCTGACGGCTCGCTCTTACATGGGTTGCGTGGTATCTGGTATTGAGACTTTTCAGAGCAAAATACTAGCACATTTTCCCCCCATGGAGAGTGTTGTCTTGTGGTTTTTTCCCCCCTCTGGCTATAACACCTTTGGGCTCCTTTGGTTCCCAGGCAGAACGAGAAGCAGGGAAATCAGTCCATGCTCTCAGGGGTTGCAAAAGCCCCATCTTGCTTTCAATCCCAGTCTCTCTGTTTTTGTTTCCTCTCCCTCTGGCATGGACCAGACCCACACTCCATGACAGGATACAGGCCTCCCTCGCTCATGTGGTCCCTGCTCTGCTTGCTGCTCTCTCCTCCCGCCGCTCTTTCCCTCCCTCCTGCAGTCTATCTGCCCCCAGTATGAGTTCCGGGCACAGGAGAGCATCAAAGGAGGGCCAGCCAACTTAGCTAATGCACTGACTGCGGACTTCCTGATGAAGCCTCCCTGGTTCCGCCACTGGCCTCATCTTACGTCACTTCTCTGTCTTCTGTGTTACTAAGAGGTCACTGAGGCACACAAGCTCTCTCCTCTGGTTCCTGACTCCAAACACTGTAAGATACCAGAATTTGGTGGTGTGACTGTGAGTGAATGTGTGCACACGTGGCCATGTGCTTATCGCCCCGTGTTAACGTGGAATGGAAATACAACGAAGAGCTCTCCGATCCTCTCCCACCTTTATCCCTGCTCCTTGACTGCTTGCAAACAGATACGGAGACGTGTCTGTCTAAGTGTATACCAAACACGATGCAGTGTTGGCGAGGATGGAGCGGAGTCTTCGACATTATCATAGTATCTGTCGGACATTAAGTACAGCAGCCCAGACCCTGGGTGAGCCTCCCCCCAAGCATCACAACGGCCATACCAGGGAGCTATACACATTCTCATTTGTTTTATTATATTTCATGTGTGTATATGTGTGCACTCACATGCTTATTTGTATGCAGATGTTCATATGGGTTCAGGTGCATGTGTACACATGGATGTGTGAGGTGGAGGCCAGAGGTCAGCCTCAAGTATTGTTCAGGGGCTATACGCATTTGTACTGAAACAGGGTTTCTCACTGTCTTACCAGCCTGGAACTCGCCCATCAGGTTAGACTGGCTGGCCAGTGTGCCCCAGGGATCCACCGGTCTCCACCTCCCCAGGGCTAGAATACCACACCCAGCTTTTTCTACAGGGGTTGTGGGGGGTGTGGGGCACAGCTACACACGGAAGGGGGCATGACCTCGGGTCCTAATGCTTGTGAGGCAAGTGGTTCAGTGAACGAGCCAGCTCCCCGGGCCAACACCCCCACTTTGTAAGTGATGGAAACTCAAGCTCCCTAGGGAATTTCCCGGGATCTCAAAGCTGGCCAGTAGAAGATCTTCAGAATCAAATCCAACTCCAAACTCCTTCCCACTGCTTTGCTGCCAAGGGGCCTTGAAAAGAAGGCAGTTAATTGGTTCATGCAGGAAGGGTTAGGTGTTTGGGAGTGCAGCTCCCAGGCAGTTGGGAAGCTGCCACCTACACACACAGAATGCATGAGCTGGCCACCTCTCTAGTGCCCTCCAGCCTTGCTGAACACACCTGCTCTTCTGAGTAGTACTGTTTCAGCCTAGATGTTGCCAGAGGCGATGCTAATAGACGTCTTCTTACATTAAGACCGAAAGGACATGAACTCAGGAGGGGGCTTCTGTCTGACCTCCTCAGTGGGCACTGGAGGGAAGTGGCTTCAGCTCCGGTGCCAGTGGTCTCCCTCACCAGTGGTGCCAATAGCCAAGTTTCCTGACGTGTATCGAGCAGTTAGTGTATCTCAGCTAATTTCCTGTGTACTTTAAACACATTAACTAGTGTTATTTCCGGAGAAAATGGTTAAGGCAGGTCCTACTGTTTCTTCATTTTTACCAGAGAGTAAAGCCAGAGAAGAATTAAATGACTTGGATTCAAAAAGATGTTTTGTTTATTTGTTTGTTTTTGAGACAAGGCCTCACTGTGTGCTCTGACTGGCCTGGAACTCACAGAGATCTGCCTGCGCCTGCCTCCATAATGCTGGGATTAAAGGTGTGGGCCACCACTCCCTGCCCGAGGTGGTCCTTGAATATCCCGGGGGACATTAATAAAATATGTGTGATTACCACAGCTTTGGGGTGTAAGGGCATTCAGGAGGCTGGGGCTGATGGAGCCGCTATACATAATACACAGGGCAGGATCCCACAGTAAGGAAAGGCTCAACCCCAGATGTCTAACGTGTTGAGGGGTTGGTGGACCCCCCAGCTCCGGAGCCCAAGCGCTAACCTATTGTGATTTCCTATTGGAAAACCTTAACTTCACGCTTCTCTGGGTTCCAGGAAGATCAAAGATGACAGTAGACCTTGTCCCTCTCACACATGGTGCTTGGCAGGTAGTGACTTCCCAGTCACGGCTTTTCTGCCTCACCAGCCTCAGGGGGCTCTCTCCCTGGAAGAGCAGGGTCAGGAGATGTCTACTGGGCTAACCCAACAGGGGACAAGGCAGCCAGTCTGCAGAGGAGACTTTGTTTATCAGAACTTGGAGTCCATTATTCACCCTTGAATTTCCTGGCGTGTTGAATGACCACTGTTTATGTTTGTGTTTACAGTCGATTTGGGAATAAGCATCTCCAAGGATAATGTGGCTACTTCTTCCCCCAAGACAATGGAGGCCCAAGCTGTGGCCGATGCCAGCGGAAAGAATCTTGGGAAACAAGCCAAGCCCGAGGCACCAGCTGCTAGATCGCGTTTTTTCTTGACACTCTCTCGGCCTGTACCAGGACGTCCCGGGGACCAAGGCTCGAATTCATCGGCTGCATCGGGCAAGCTTGATGTCAGCCCCGGCACAGCGCCTGTGAACAAAGACCCAAGTGAGCACGGGGCACTTCCGGTGGCAGCTGCACCCGGGCCGGCTGCAGATAAAACCAGGCCAGGGTGCACTGAGGCCAAGCAGCAGGTCCTCCCTGCCACCTGCCCGCCGGCACCTTCACCACCCGAGTCCCGGGCGGAAGGCCCCTCCAAGACGAAAGAGTTCGGCTTTTTCGACAGATTATTTAAACTAGACAGGGGAAGAGAAAGCGCACCAGTTGACGGCCAGCCTGAAGAAGCCCAGGGGGTGAGAGATCAAGACCAGGCCGCCGAGGCTCCTGCTTTGCCAGGGAATCCCCATGGTGTCCCTGCTGGGGAGGTAAGTGTGTTCCTCTCCAATGGGTGCTTCTGTTGGGGACACTGACCACTGCACATGTCACCCTGCAGTCACCAAAGCCCTAGACAGGGCAAGTTTAGCCTCTTCTTTACGTTTGTGCGGAAACATCCAAAGAACAAACTACCTGCAACCTCTGTTTTATGTAAAGAAAGAGAGGTGGTAGGTGATGCAGAGGTGAAGCAGAGGTGATTCAGAGGTGATGCAGAGGTGATGGAGAGGTGATGCAGGTACAGGGCTGAGGTACAGGGCCTGTGTTTATGAGCCCAGACAGAAAGGCAGGAGGGGAAGGAAAATGACCTCTAAGAAGCTTAAGTACCAGGCCGGGGACGTGGACTGTACTTACCTAGCATGCGTGAATTCCTGGATTTGATCCCCATGGCCGCGTACACCAGGCGTGGAGGCAAAGGCTTTCAATCCCAGCACTTGGGAGGTGGAAGCAAGAAAATCTCAAGTTCAAGGTCATCCTTGGCTACTTAAAGCCAGCTTCAGACACATAAGACCATGTCTCAAAAGAAAAAAAAAGAAAGAATTAATTATATCATGACTATTAGACTACAGACAAAATTTCTAGATAGTTGAAATTGGGAAAAGACAATAAGACTAATGTATTGAAGGCTCCTGGTATCAATATTTTCACTACACCCATAAATCTGGGCTCAGGGTTTATTGAAATGTTCTTTCACATGTCTACTCCCAAACTGTACTAGTTTGGCAAACGGTCCAATGAGCAGCATTTGGGGAGGGGTCGGCCAAGAGCCCCAAGCTGCTCCTCTGAGGGCTACGACCTGGTCACCGATATTCCTGATGATGGCGGGCAACTGTTTACACACATGGCCTGGGTAGAGAAACTCTGGCTGGGTTTGCATCATTGCCCATGGACACCCAGAGCTGTTCCGAGGCGGTGACTTTTAAACAGTCGTAGGTCTTTTAGGAGTAGGGATCCAAAGCCAGTCTGTCACCTGAGTCATTTATAAGAAGAGAAGAGGCTCTGCCCGTCTTTACATGGTTGCCTCGTGACTCGGCCAAATCCTCCTCCATTAAACAAATCAGGCCAGCGTCACCAGCCGCAAACCCAGGGCATACTCAACCCACTCTTCCTCTCAAAGAACTCGGTGGCGAACAGTTTTGAAGTGGTGCTTTGCAAGCTTGGCCTCCTCTATTGGGCTGGGATGAGGACACCCTCAGAGAAGGAGCTAGATTCCATTGCAGTGGGTTCCCAGGTGAGCCTGGCTTCAAGATGCCATCTGTGTTAGAAAGACAGCAGGTATGAATGCAGTCCATCCCAGGGTGATGTCTGGAGTTGAAATCATCTTTCAGAGTAACCCCACCCCCAATTATAAACATGTTTTCTTTCCTAGATAAAAGACCTCTCTCACTTAGCATTTGCCAAGGAAATGTATGTGCTTAATTGTGTTATACTTCAAATTTCCATATTTTTTTGGGGTGGCAGTATCATTGAAATTTGAAATATTGATTGTCCATCATGCACACATAAAACAGTTGTTTTTTTGTTTGTTTGTTTGTTTGTTTTGTTTTTTTTACATAGTATGAGATAACCATTTCTCCTTCAGCCTACAAGTGCATGGATATTTGAATGCATATATGTGCAATGTTTTTAAAAAACTGAACAGCAGAAAAAAACGTCGCCTTCTGATTTGTACAGGTTTCTCATCTGGCCCCTGGGGCCTACTTCTGTGTTTAGGGGAAAACCAATTGTTTTTTAAGTATAGTGAGAAAATACAGCTCTCAGAAAATAACATGAATAAAACGTCCCAATCAATAGCATTCTTGGAGCTAGTACAGCCACAATGCAAAGTTGAGCACTGGATGCATCGATTCAGAATTCTTAAGGTAAATTATGCCCTGGGTTCTGCCATGTCAGCTCTCCCTCCCCGTCTCCCATCCCCCACAGTTCTGCGCCTCCACCCCCCACTGTCACTGCATGCTGGTTTTGGAATTCCAGCCATAGAGCCTCTGAGCTGTGAATTAGGACAGAGATAACTGGCCCCCATCTCATCCTGGAGAGGGGTGGGTAAACACACAAATCTGTGTTTTCAGAATGACAATCTTATTTGTGCGCCTCATAAAACTACATTCAGACCATAGCATAATTAAAACAAGGCAAGAATTCATGGACAAATGGAGCATTTAGCACGGAGGCCAAAGAAAAGATAAATTATAGACCTGAAAGTCTGACTGAGCGGTGATTCACACAGACCAACTGGTTGGCAGGGATGCGATTTGTACCCCCCCTCTCTCCCCAACTGAACCGGGCTTCTAAGATAAACATTTAATAGATTTCATCGCACGTGCACAAAAAATGATCCTATAATGGAAATCTGGCCTTACTGGTTATAAAAGAAAACACTGCGTTTTTGTTCCCTCATGGTCCTTCCAGGGGCATCTTTGTGGTACGGGGTGGGTGCATGGATGAGTGATGGGTGCCAGAGATGGTTCCTTAAGATTTAAAAATGCTTCTTTTTGCTTATAAATGTATTCAAGTTCTGCACTGACTGTTTGAACACGAACCTTGTACAAGAGAAGGGTGGTTGGCTCTCCTCGTCCTAGCTCCTCTTCTAATAAGTCCCTCCCCCCCACTAAGCTTTTTATTACATTTATTTATTCTGTGAACGAGCATGCACGTAGGTGAGAAGACAAACCGTGGCAATCGATTTTCTCTTTCCATCATGTGGGTCCCTGAGTTCAATCCCTGGTCTTCAGGTTTGGCCGCAAGCTCCTTTACTTGCTGAGCCGTCTCGACAACCCTCGCAGATTTTCTTAAGGGATGACAAGACTGAAGCCTTGGGTCACTCAGGCCAACGTATCTGAAGAGCCAGCTTGCTGTTTTCGCTTCCTGCTCTCCTGTTTCCTGGCAATGCACTCAGAGATGCTCACCAAGTGAAAAGACTAACTCTAAAAACAAGAATGTGAACCGGATGTGATGGTACATGTCTGTAATCCTAGTGCTTGAGAGGCAGAGGCAGGATAATCAGATGTTCAGGGTTATCCTCTGCTACATCGTGAGCAGGAAACCAGCTTTGACTGCAGGAGATCTGTCTCAAAAAACAAAACAAACAAAACAGCAAATGAACAATCAGTTCCAGAGTGGCACACTATGGATACATGGGGTTAGGAAATAGAGAAGAGAGGGACGATAAAAATGGATGGGAGGACAATTTGGAAAGCATTCTCGAAGAAGACAAGGAAAAGTGAGTGTGTGTGTGTGTGTGTGTGTGTGTGTGTGTGTGTGTGTGTGTGTGTGTGTTTTCTTTCTTTGCACAACACCAAGCAGTACTTAGAAATCTACTGCCATATTTCAGCAGCACTAAAAGCACTTCTCTCTGATAATTGTGACTGCAATTATCAGTCTAGAGAAATGCATGTGACAGAGATGCTTCCTGTGATCCCTCATTGCCTGCTCCCCTGTCCTCATGGATGTCCACTCCTTGCCAGCAGCAAACTCACATTCCATTCCTGTGTCCATGTGCACAACCCCACCGTAATTACTGATGCCAAAAACAAAAGTCGGAAGCTGGGGATGTAGCTCATCTGGTAAAGTGTTTACCTAGTGTGCCTGAGAGCCCGGGGTCCAGTCCCAGCATGGCACAAACTAGGCATGGTGGCACACTCCTGTAACCCCAGCATCAGGAAGATGGAAGGCAGGAGGATCAGAAATTCAGTCATCCTCAGCATTGAATCCAGCCTGGGCTACACCAACCAGACTTTGTCTCAAAGCAAAAACACAAGCAAGAACATCCCATGGAGCTAAAAATCTCTGTTCACCTGCCTGAGCTGATGGGAATCAAGCTGATAAACTCCTAGCCTTCTGGTCAAGGAGAAGAGACAGGGAGCCAGAGGAGGGAAGGAAGGAAGGAAGGAAGGAAGGAAGGAAGG